AATGAATAAAAAAGGAAACTTGGCCAATATTGAACCAGCTGTGTGGCATTGCAGTGATGAACAGTGTTTGGCTGCCAGCACCCAAACCTCTGCCACTGGATGGGCAGGGATCTCCGGGGGAAGTCAATCAACATTCGTCTGCGGACAATGCGTTGACACACAGCTGGTTGAATATCAGCAAAGTTTCCCTGCTTCCCTTCACTGGTTCCTGTACAGCAGGGTCGGCCTTTTTTTCAGTGTTAAAATCGTTAAAAAGCAAAAGCAGCATGTGTATGCATTCAGTAAGCTAAATCTTCAGTAGCTAGCTTGCTAACACCACACTTTTCAGGATTTGATTTTGGTTTTGGAACAGGGAAGAAACGTATATCTTTTTCCAAGCTCTCCAGGTAACAAGTATCATTGGGTACAGGTCTGAGCCGGCCCAATACTACGTTATGATTGGCCAGTCTGCATCGGTGGGCAGGGTCAATTACAAGGCCTCTGATAAGGTTATGTAGATCTGGGATTTAAAAAAGGACCTGAAACTAAGCTGAGGATAGAAGTGTTAAAACAGGATGTCTCCTGAGGTATAAAAGGCATATCTAATAATACTCCCTGGTGTTTTCTTGCTTGTCTAAAGCCTGATGTAGTGACAGGCATCCTCAACAGTTCCCTTGCCCTCATGCTGCTGATTACTGTCAGGTTGTGGAGTGAGTGAAAGGAACGAGACAAAAGTTTGTGATTCATTTATAAATGTATGTGTTAACCTGTATGCAGAGTTAGATTACAAAGACTGAAGGAAGTCCTTGAAGTCTTGCTGAAGCATTTCCATGGCAACAGCGTACTGATGGGGACTCTTTGTTCTTTACCCTGTAAGCATACACACCCTGTGAATGGATGTTGTTGATACACCAAAGCACACTCACTACATGTGTTTAGATATTGTGGTGCCAGACTTATTGATGTCCAGGGACACTGGACATCCTTTGGTACTAATATAGCAGTGTAACAGACAAGCACAAAGACAGAACCAAACAAATAAAATACACTTCAGAGACGCTGTTATGTAACAGAGTGAACTCAGTCACTCAGCTTTACAGTAGCTGGATGTGGCCATACATAATGGTAATAGTGTATAAAGGTTTGAGCTGGGCCAGTACAAACCAGCCACACAACTATATTGGAAACATGAACATACATATATTCAGTTGTACAGTATACTTGACTCAACAATCCAAACAAAATCAACCATGACATGACATTAATACTAAATGCAACACTGAGACCTTCACAACACAATTGAAAGATTTGTGTGTAACTGCTTTATTTTACAGGTCTGAACATTCCCAGTAGGAAGTTTTCTGGAATGAACAATTTACTTTTGCAATAATTATGGTTAAAATAGTGAGGAAAAAAGTAAAATGTGTGTTAAAGTTTTAAATTGGTTCACGTCTAATGGACAGTTCAAATTAAGTGATAAGCTAATGTGATGTAGTCTTTTTGTCAGTCCACAACAGGTGAGCTGTACGTGCTGAAATGTTGAGTTTGTTTGCAGACAAACGGATGAGGAACTCATGATTGGGTTGAAGAGGAACATTAGAAAGAAAGAAAGAGAGAAAGAGAGAAAGAAAGAAAAAAGGAAAAAATAAAGAACAAAAGGAAAAAAAAACAAGAGACAGAAATAAGGATAGAAAGAAACAAAAGAAAGAAAGAAAGAAAGAAAGAAAGCTAGAAAATATAAAAGAAGGAAAGACAGAAAGAAAAAAGAGAAAGAAAGAGAGAAGGAAAAAGAGGAAAAGGAAGAAAAAGAAAAGGAGGAAAGAGAAGGAAAGAAAGAAAAAAGGAAATGAAAAGAAGGAAGAATGAGAAATAAGGAAAGAAAGGAACAAAACAATGAAAACTGGAAAGAAAGAGAAGAAAAAGAAAGAAAGGGAAGAAAAGAGGGAAAGAAAGAAAAGAAAGAAAGAGGGAAAGGAGGGAAAGAAACAAAAGAAAGGAAGAAAGAAAAACAGAAAAAGAATGAAGGGAAAAAGAGAGACAGAAAAAAGAAAAGAAGGAAGGAAAGAAAGAGGTAAAAGGAAGGAAAGGAAGGAGAGAAAGAAACAAGAAAGAAAAAATGAAAGAAAGAGAAAGAAAGAAAGAAAGAAAGAAAGAAAGAGAAAGAAAGAAAAAACAAAAGATGGAAAGAAAAGAACGCAAGACAAAGAAAGAAAGAAAGAAAGTCATTTGCTCCCAGTGAAAACATCTTGTCTTCTCAAAGCTTGTGGCTGCTCGTGATGGAGACAGGAAATGAATGCACATGGGGGAGACACCTGTGGCTGAAGCTGCACCGCCCTCATTAAGTTGATTGATGCACGTAATGCTCCCATAATGAAACAGCTGCTGTATTTTGAAACAGTCAATACAATTTAATAAAAAATCAAAGATGTCTGTTTCATTAATTCATACTCATGTGATAAATACACAAATGAAATAGAAAAATAGAGAAAAAGAAAACAAAACGGTTATAATATTCATCTGCTTATAGTATCAATTCGATCCAGATGGACGTGATCTAGGTAAGCTGTTTCCACTCTAATAATCAAATAAAGCATTACCAATCACATCAATTACCAATCACCAAGTACATCCCCTAATGATGTAGTGTTTATCATTTGAGTGCTATTACTCAAAAACACATTTATTCATTGATTTATTCACTTCATGTCTGCAGAAACCGTATTAATATAACATTCAAAATAAATAAAAATTCAAATTTTGATAAATACTGTATGTTCCAGTAGTACTGGTTATTATTACGTGACAATATCAATAATCAGTATACTAATATGATGCCTGAGTTTCTGTATCCACACCAAAACAATACTTAACCTGGGAATAAAGACAGCTGAAACAGGACATGAGCCTGTTCACCTTTTGTTTTCTCTTCTAAATACACTCACTGGCCACTTTATTAGGCACACATTGCTAGTACCAGATGGGACACACTTTTGCTTTCAGAACTGCCTAAATTCAGGGGAGTCGATGGCTTAGTGGATAGAGCAGGCGCCCCATGTACAATGCTGTTGCTGCAGCGGCCCAGGTTCGACTCCAGCCTGTGGCCCTTTGCTGCATGTCATTCCTTCTCTCTCTCCCCCCTTCACACTTAACTGTCCTATCAATTAAAGGCAAAAACACCCCAAAAATATCTTTAAAAAAAACAACTGCCTAAATTCTTCCTGGCATGGAATCAACAAGATGTTGTAAACATTCCTCAGAGATTTTGGTCCATATTGATGATGGCATCACACAGTTGCTGCAGATTTGTCAGCTGCACATCCATGAGGTGAATCTCCTGTTCCACCTCATCCCAAGGTTTCTATATTGGATCTGGTGACTGTGGAGGCCACTGGAGTACAGTGAACTCATTGTCATGTTCAAGAAACCAGTTTGAGTTGAGCTGAGCTTTGTGACATGGCGTGTTATTCTGTTGGAAGTAGCCATCAGAAGATGGGTACACTGTGGTCATATAGGGATGGACATGGTCCGCAACAATACTCAGGTAGGCTGTGGTGTTTAAACTGTGCTCAGTTGGTACGAAGGGGCCCAAAGTGTGCCAAGAAAATATCCCCCACATCATCACACCACCACCACCAGCCTGAACCGTTGATACAAGGCAGGATGGATCCATGATTTCATGTTGTTTACACCAGATTCTGACCCTACCATCTGAATGTCACAGCAGAAATCGAGACTCATCAGACCAGGCAACGTTTTTCCAGTCTTCTATTGTCCAGTTTTGGTGAGCTTGTGCAAATTGTAGCCTCAGTTTCCTGTTGTTAGCTGACAGGAGTGGCACCTGGTATGGTCTTCTGCTGCTGTAGCCCATCTGCTTCAATGTTTGACGTGTTGTTTATTCAGAGTTGGTCTTCTGCATACCTTGGTTGTAATGAGTGGTTATTTGAGTTACTGTTGCCTTTCTATCATCTTGAACCTGTCTGGCCATTCTCCTCTGACCTCTGACCTCTGACCTCTGGCATCAACAAGGCATTTTTACCCAGAGAACTGCCGCTAAATGGATGTTTTCTCTTTTTCGGACCATCCTCTGTAAACCCTAGAGATGGTTGTGCATGAAAATCCCAGTAGATCAGCAGTTTCAGAAATACTCAGACCAGCCCGTCTGGCACCAACAACCATGCCACATTCAAAGTCACTTAAATCACCGTTCTTCGCCATTATGATGCTCGGTTTGAACTTCAGCATGTCCTCTTGACCATGTCTACATGTCTAAATGCATTAAGTTGCTGCCATTTACTGATTAGCTATTAGCATTAACGAGCAGTTAAAGAGGTGTACCTAATAAAGTGGCCGGTGAGTGTATGTTTGACTACTGAAAACTTCAGTTAGGAATAAAGACATGTTTTGATGCTGCACTAATCAATATTTTCATTTTAACAGTGGATTGAATTACTGTTTGTAATGTGAAAGTGCGGTACCTGCAATGAAATATCTAACTGTGCCGTCATATCCATGAAGCCTTTTGGCATCTTTTAATTTATTTTGGATTGATGGCTCACAACTACTTTTTGTTAAGTATCAGTGCTCCCATCAGTCCTGTTTCTAGCAGCAGCAGACAGCTGTTTTTAGTGGAAAAAGCTCTGCTAAACACAGTGTACATTACCTGCCCTGCAGCAAACAGTAGCCAGACATAGCTAGGGACAAGCTGGTGATCATAGTGGAGCATTTAGCGGCTAAAGGGACAGATATTTATCTCAGGAGTTGGTGGAGACCAACACTGCAGCTTAAAGACCAGTGGATATTGGACTAAGTGCTCAGAAAAAAAGTAGACCTGTGTTAAAATCTGATGTATGATCTCATCTGCAAAGGATTTCCCTGTCACGGTACACCCATCACATTTGTATATTTGTCAGTGGTTGCTGTTGATTATTTCTTGATGAAAAATCAATAGTGATTGTATCAGTCAGTGTGTGATTTCAAGACTAACCTGTCAGTGTGTCCTGTTGTGTGTGTGTGTTTTACAGAAAGCCTACTGTGGCCACTGTAGTGAAAGGATATGGGGGCTGGGCAGGCAGGGCTACAAGTGTATCAACTGCAAACTGTTGGTCCATAAGCGCTGTCACCGACTCATCCCTCAGACCTGCCAAAGGCTTATGGTGAGTACTTCATCATGTCCTGAGCAGCAAACAGCACAGTACCAGCCTGTCATATCAGACGCCAACACACTCTCTCAGCAAACACTGAAATCGAGCTTGGACAGCAGTGTCAGAGAAATACATGAAATGGACATGACCCCTAAAAACCACATTAAATGGTGGTGGGCATGAAGTTTGCTAAAACTGTGCGAGCCACACCAAAACAATGCCAATGCAAAGGTTACAAGGTTGCAACGGTTACAGTTTTGTTGTAAAACGGTTGGTTAGGTTTAAGAAAAGAAAAACACTTAGTTAGGTGTAGATAAGAAAGTAAAAACAAAACAAAACAAAAAAATAGAATTACGGCCCTGTGGTTGTATGCCTCCACGCACCAGTCAGGTTTCTCTTACAGTTTACATTTGCGTCTGTGAAAACAGATGTTTCACACACATCTTCCCCCCAACGCCACAGAAGGTCTATACAATCAGTACAGTTACTAGGTGGGCACCCAAGATGTCACAAATCAGTGTCTGACCAAATGTCTCCCCTTCTGTTCCTGAGATATGACGCTGAATAATGGCCTGAAAAGTGTTTTATGCAGAACATTATGATGTCACTGTGAAGTTGACCTTTGACCTTTTGGATATAAAATGTCATCACTTTATTATTTTATCCTATTAGTCATTTGTTTAAAGTTTTGTCATAATTTGCATATGAATTATTGAGTTTTGGCCAGAAACAAATGTTTTGAGGTCACACTGACTTTGACCTTTGACCCTTGACCACAAAATTGTAATCAGTTTATTCTTAAGTCCAAGTGGACACTTGTGTCAATTTTGAAGAGATTCCCTTAAGGTGTTCTTGAGATATCGTGTTCAGAAGGATTGAACGGAAAAGATCATGGTTTCTGTTAAAATAACTAAGTTTGGGATGGAGTTGACGTAAACTTTGTGTAATTATGTAAAGTATCTAAGTAGAAAAACTCTCATTTTGTTAACTTTTTGTAAAAACACTTATATTAAACCCTACACTACTGTCGCAATATCAAAATTGAGGGATGTAGTAAAAAAAATCTTGTGATAGTTGATTTTCTCCATATCACTAAGCCCTAGGTTGAGTCCATGTTTGATTGACCCATTCACCACCCCTCCTGCCCACTCTACACAAATTTTCCGCTCGTTATACTTAGTTTGCGTGACTACCACATTAAAAGATCCTCCCTGACTTTTCACTGGCATGTTTTTGTGTTGCCAGCATGTAATTTTAACACATTTTGTGCCCGCGGACTTGTGATGCATTGATAAGTGTTTGTATCAATTTCACCTGTTTCTCTGAGACCGGGCTCTTACATGTTATTGACATGAGTAATGAAGGTTACATCCCCTCCCCAGGTGTTATGTGACAATAGCACAAGTTGATCATGTCTTATATACTTATACTGTACATGTTCATGACTTTCAAATGTTACTTTATGCATCACTATAGACAAGCATAATTGTGATTATTTCAATTTGGGTCTTATTTTATAGTTTTGGCTGTCATTACTCAGTTATTTTACAATAGTACTCACCTGTAAAGAAACAAAGACTGCTCTCAGCCTCTCACATCATCTGACTGCTTGTGTTTCTTGCCTCATCTGTTATGTTTTTCATATCTTGTATTAAATTAAAATTATTTATTTTTCATCACGTTCAGGGTTGTTAACAGATGGGTTAACTGCCTATCAAACCCGAATCACAGTATAGAAATCCTCTTTTCACAAGTAAAAATAGAATCAAAGTTCTGTTGTTATTTTTTAAATGTCAAGTTGACTTTTATTTTATTTTGGCTAATGAAACCGTATATTCCACTAATATTCCTGTTTAAATGTGGAAAAGTGGAACACCTGTTGCTCGTGCCTGAAGTTTTAGCAAACTTTTTGGGCCATGCGAACACAGCCTCCCTCTGTCATTCAGTCAGCCACCTTCTTGAAAAGGTCAGCATTACAATAAGTGCATATCCAAAAATAGCTGTTAGTCAGAGTCAGAGCCAAATGCTTTGATGAAACGAGTATCTACTATAGATGTTGAACTGTTTACAAGTACCACCTGAGTAGTATATGTCAATATCAGTACTTGTGATGAAGGAACATCCTCATTTCTCTCTTACTCTTGTGATCAAAAATGATCTAAAGCTAAATTCTGAGGCTGTTCTTTGATAGATTTCCAATACATAATAAATATAACAACTGATACCAATTTCAGGCTTAAAGTAACAAACTCTGGTTAGGCCACACCCACTTCTGGTTTAAGTAACGCCCGCAGTTAAGTCAGGCCCCGATCACACAGAAAGTGTTGTACAGGTTGCAAAACGTGAGGCGCACCACAGTGCCTTTTTTTTAAATTTTTTTTAAATTGAATGCTGCGAGTAAAAAAACACTGCGCCTTTTTATTGTTGCAAGGCAACCACCCCATCACCTCCTTACCCTAATTTTCCCATATACTCAATCTACTGTTTTTTTTTTTGTTTTTTGTTTTGGGTTTTTTTCACAGTAATTAGAAACTAGTTCCTAAAATGGAGAGGCAGAGGGTACTTGCTGTAGCTCTGGTTGAGGGTGAGAGGCTGTCAGCAAATAGTTTGTTCGGCACAGAGAAACGGAGATCTGTGTAGGTACATGAGACCCTAAAAAAGAGGGTAGATCACGGGGAGTACCACCAGTTGGTCCAGGAGCTTCACCTCGATGATGGCCATTTCCAGGCATATTTTAGGATGACTCGGGGGCAGTTTGACAACCTGCTATCTATCGTCAGGCTGTGTAGCTCTGTGTATCCAGCAACCGCTACCACCAGTTTCTCCTCCATTGTTTACCAACTGTAAACTGTGGCAAGACAATGGCAGAAAAGATGAGGAAGAAAAAAGAGATGACATGGAGAGGGCTTTTCCTCTCTGGGTTAAAGTTTTTTCAACTTCAGGATTTCAGAGCACTCCAGCAAAAACAGCAGGTGTCTAGAGCACAGAAACGCGAGGTGCGTTGCAACAAAAAAAATGTGAGCAAAAAGCATCATTCTCGTTTATAACAATTACAAAAAGCCACCTCCAGCTGCTAAAACACTTTGTGTGATTGGGGCATTAAACACCGCCCATTCTGAGTACAAACATGGATAATTGGTTGAACAGATACAGATAATAATGTACTTGCCCATCCTTAATGTTGCTATCTAAGTCTTTCATAATGTTATAAAGTAGGTTTGTTTCTCCTTCCAGATAGAAATCTGGCTTTTTCTTTTGGGCATGTATCTTTACCTCAGCCTTGCGGATTGGTGCCTAGCTGGTTTGTGTACATCGTCTCCATGACAACGCACAGAGCTGACTGTAAACAGGCAAGAGGCCATGTGTTGCAATCTGTGGTAAAACACCAGTTGAGACGCGTAGTCTGAATACAGTGTATAAATATCCAAAGACTACAACTGAGTGATACCAGCATATCCCACGTCTTAATCAGAAAATGCTACATTTGGAATAAGGCCTTATTCAAACAGAATATGCTGTTTACATAACCAAAATTAAATTCAGAATATCGTAATTTTTGGAATAATAGTGAAATATTAGAATGCATGTAAATATACCTACTGTCAGCATACATTTGTACTAATAAATGTGTAAAAAAGTACTGTATAGTGCTGTAAGCTGTTGCAGTAGCGCAGACATCGTCCTGAAAGATCAAGGAGGTCAATGCATTCATGCACAAAACAGATAAAGCTCTCTGTACACTCCCTGTTTGTCTTGGTATCTCGTCCTCCTCTTCTTTCCTCCCATTCTTTTGAAGTGAGACATCAGGTTTAGTGACAGCAAACCAGTGTGCTCCATGTAATCGATCCATTTGATCAAAGAGCAGGCGTATGACCAAACACTGAGATCCCAAATTCAGCCCCTTAAGCCCAAAATCTTAACTAAGATCAGTGAAGCTCTGGTACTGAGCTAACTGTCCTCTGTGACCATTTGGTATTCCCCCTCTTAATCACAGCATCACCCCAAAATCTTCAGTGGCAGATAAGTGACTTTGAGGCCTTCTGAGATGAAACGATGAAATGCCTTTCCTAGTAAAACCCCCACATAGCCATCAGAGTGTAGAGCAACAATATGTCTGTAGATCAGCTGAGAGCTTCTCTCTAAATACAGATTTTCCCTTGCAAATATGATTCATCTCCTCCAGCAGCATAAAACCATGAGTGGGTATTTCAGTGGATATTTGGGCGAATGTGTCAGGGATATTTAGGTGGAGTTTTGCATTTCTTTGTTCAGGATCCAGCCATGCCATCACAGGAGCCCCCTTCAGATGCCAAGAGTGAAGAAGTTGACCTTCCACCAGATGACACAGAGGACACAGATGGAAGTAAGACCTTCTTTTTATTAACAAGAAGAATGCTGCCATGTCATCAGGTCCAGTTTTTGATATGTCCAAGATAAATCCTCAATATTTTGCCTCAGGTCTTCAGACGTCAACGTCGCTCTACGAACAATGAATACAGTGATGATGACAGAATCCTGAGGAGTGATAATAAGCTGAAGCAACTGTAAATAGAGGGTTATATTTGTAATGCAGCAGTTTGAGATGCAAAGCAAAAAAGCAATTCTGAATCCAGTTAGCTGCAAATGTTAATCTAAGGGATGAGCAGTTTAATAAAGGAAAGTCCACTGTCACAATGAAGGATACTATTACCAGGATACAGTACCTGAACATAACTCATGCATATTTCTATGGCTGCCTGGTTGCATCACAATGAAAAATGTCTCATATATCTTTCTGTATTGTTTTATACCTGTTTGTAGGAAAGACTCTTTGACTTAGACACTTGACAGTGCTTACTGTATATACTTGATTTTGACAATGTGTATGTGGACATGCACCTGCGACACAAGTGACATTGTTGGCATTACTTCCCTTTCTCTGTCCAAAATCCATCCCAGCAGGCACCATCAGACCGTCACACGTTATAAATTGGTTGGAATAAAAATAGGGTTGATGATATTTTAAATGTCTAACAACATTAGATTTTCACATCATGTGTACATTAACATAATGACATTTTGCAGACTTTGGGTTTATTTTTTCATACCTTAATGTCTAGATGTTGTTATTCTACATCAGGATTTGTTTGATTTTGGTTATTTAACAACACAGTACTAGTAGTACTGTGCCAGTGCTGGAGAAGGCTAAGAATTTCTCAGTGGCGGAAAAAGAGTTAATGTGCGTCTTGATCCTTTTCAGAGATTTTTAAATTTTTAATGTGGGAAAACCACCAAAAATATTAGTGTTAGTGTAAGTACTTTGAAATGTGTTTGCAGGGGAACTTAAATAACACAAACTGTCCAACAGTGCAATGCACAGTGAAATTGAAGGAGCTGGACAAAAATGAAAACTGATTGTGGCTGGTGGTAAAATAAAAGCTCTACGACCGCCTCAGTAAACCAAAAAATCCCTAGAATATTTTTGTCTCTTTGTGAAGTTTAGTGAACTGCAAAAACAGCAGATTATAAAACCTCTCAGGGCCTTCATTCCAGCAGAAAAAGTTTGCTGCCTGTAAGAATTCCACAGTACATTTTATGGGAATGGAAATTCAGTGTAACAATACAAAATACCTCCAGTATTATAAAGTGTGAGTGCAGTGCAGACCTGTAGGAGAGCAGAAGTGCTGTGGTCTCATCAGTCATACTCAGGATAGTTATTAATTGCTGTATATTACCAACAGATGACTGTGCTGTCTAAACACTCTTTCCCTTCTCTCTACGAACATTGTCAACAAACCACTAATTGTGAGCCATGTTTTTTTTTTTTTTTGTCATTTGGTGCAAACTGTAACAGGCCTCATTGATTGTTGCCATGCAAACATGCCTCTTAATTTAGATTTTACCTGCTGGTGAGTTGGCTAACCTTCTGGGTTTAGGTCAGTCATTATTTTTGTGAAGCTGTCTTGCATTAGACTAATTTATGATCCAAACGGAGACAAGCCTAAATCACAGACCACTCTAAAATATCTTTGTGAAACTGACCCTAACTTGGTAGGCACTCATATAAGGGGGTGGGGTGTCACCAGAGGCCCCATGATAACCATATTATCACGATTTTTCAGTCACTATAGAATATTATTGCGAATTTAAATGTTTTGCAATATAGTGAGTATTGTAATTGCTTAAAGCCACAGTGTATAGACATTCCTCCCATCTAGTGTTGAAATCATATATTGCATTCAAATGGATAGCTCTCTGTAGTGCCTCACTGTTTCAAATGCGTATTGCAACAATGGTAGCCTCTGTGTACCAAAAAGCTATGGTAACATTGATAAAACCATGTCATCCGATACTTTATGGAGCATTCATTTAGGCTCCTACACAGACACACGTGATGCGAGTTGACAAACCCCCTCCTCACCATGCTGGCTGTGTTTACAACGTAGGACGTTGGGGCGGGTGTTAATCGAAACAAACCAATCACGTCTTGTGGCTCAACCTCACACACCTCATCTCTCTTCTCATGTCACTGTGCCGCTGACAGCGGCGCTGGCCTGTGATTGCATTACCTTTCTCCGTCAGCAGCTCTCTCCACCTGGGAAAGGCTACCCTGATGTTGACCCTCGTTTTATGAATTCGCCGGTCATGTTGTCTTTTTGATTCCTTTTTGTGCTTTCTTGGCCACGAGGAATCCGTCTCCCGTGATGCTGCATATGCATGATCCTGCATTATGCTCAAAGAGTGGGACTTTGTTATGCTGCAGTAGTGCCGGGGTAGTAGCAAAGCACCTCTTGCTCCTCTCCTTTGGCTTCTCAGTCACGCAGCGCTGGCCTGGCTCTCAATGAAAACGCTGAAGATGGGGCTGTATGTCCCTTGTTGGCGGATGTATTCTCAAGATGGCTAAACATTATGGACCCCCAGACGACTTACCTGCACAATGTACAAACAAATCCGAAATTCTCCTTTTACAAGAATAAGTCAGATTATTGGTGGAGGTAATAATACACCAATGATGACATATTTATGAATGCAGACATCAATTTTTGCCAATAAACAACTGAAAATGTTACACAATGTCCATTTAAATTACAATTTATTACCTTTTTTTTTTACTGTAAATTTAGTCCCCAAAGGAAAACTTTGTCAATAACATCCCTTTTATCCAATAAGAGAAAGTTTTCAGTCTGTTCATCTCATTTTTATTGCAGCAAAATGTATCTAGTGGAATGAAAAAGCAACTGATTTTATTATTGTAGTTCAGTCATGACCACTTTAGCCAGTGAAACTTTATTTCCATTTGTAATAATATATTTGGCAGTATGGCTTTGTTCTGGGGCCCCTCTGCCTTTCCTTGGGCCTACACAGAAAGCCTAAGGTGGAGAGAGCACTCCTCTCTGCCCTTCCATGCACCTACATGGAAAGCCTAAGGCAGGAAGAGCAGCAGCAAAGAGCCCCCAGGAACAGAACAGAGCTAGCATCAATGACAAACAGAAATGTCATGGATCAGACATGTCAGACACAATATGAAAAGGAGGAGCTGGGGTGGAGGCAAGTTGTAAAGCAGCTTGCAGAGGAAGCGGCAACAGTAGGCAAGCTAAAGCAGTTTAAATGGGGCACTCAGAATGTGATTTGCCAATTGGTTGCATAGACAGAAATCATGTGATCTGTCAGCTGACTCCCTTCCATCAATCAGCTGATCCATCAATTGATTGGGCTGCTTGAGATCAGCTGATGTAGCTGGGATGTGAGCTGAGCTTGACATCATGTCCTGCCTGAACAAACGCGAGGCTCAGTTAGGCTCCCAAACATATTATTTGTATTTGCAATATTAATAATTCATGCCATGGGAAAAAAAATCAATACCGGATGTCCATGTATTGATCCAATATTGCCACGCAAATTATCACAATACTATGCTATAGCTATTTTTTTCACACACCGCTAATTTATATTTGCTTTCTGTCATGTCGTTGTCAAATCCACAACCTGCTCCTCACATCTCAAGCAGTGCAGCAGTGGAACCCATATGACAGCTTCATACAAAAACCATACACGCAGCTCCCTTGTGTTTAAATTAGCAGAAAAATAGCTGTGAATTGATCTACAAAGGGGTATGGCAGTAAATATTTCCTTTGTGGTACCAATAAAGACACTATTTACACTGTATATTACATGTACAGTACAGTACACATGATGTAATCCCAAGACAAATAAATAGAACAGATACTTTGTTAAAGAGGTTCACTTCAAACCCTGGTTGCTTCACCTCATACTCACTGTCATCATTTATGTAACTGTGTAACTCTCAACTGTTATCTAAGCACATTACTGCTCTCTGATGGGATCCCACAGAACAGAGGCGTAAATCCCATTAAAAGGAGACTGCGGGCTGATGTGGGGTCTGTTTGGGGCTCCCTGAAATGATATGCTCTGTGGATTGACTTAGTTTGTTTTTCCTGTGGAGAAGCTGGACTTGATTCTCTGTACTCTGCCTCCCTCTACTGGCCAAAAAACAAACAAACAACATGTTAAACTTAAATGTACAGATTCAGTTTTTGTCACATTATAAATGGCTCCACATGGTCATAACTCAGTGGCCCTTTGTGTCTGTTGTTTGCAGTATCTTTTTTACCACACAACTGTACAGTGGATAAAACAGAAGATGCAGATAACGAGGTGAGAAAGGCTCTCAATCATTACAACATTTACTTTGTCACTCTCTCAACATATTTATTGTGAAGGTACTGTATGTTTAATACACTCACAGTGTTCTGACCTCTCCACCCTCCTCCAGGACATCAAAGCAGTAGTGGATGGCATCGATGGCATTAAGCTCTCCCCGGGCCTGGCTCTCGGGCTGGGTGACTTCGACCTGATCCGAGTGATCGGCCGTGGAAGCTACGCCAAAGTCCTGCTGGTTCGGCTAAAGAAAAACAAGCAGGTGTACGCCATGAAGGTGGTGAAGAAGGAGCTGGTCCACGATGATGAGGTGAGACACTGAGTACACCTGGGATGTCAAGGATGTGAGACAGGGGAGGGGAGGACAGGTGCAAAGTCATGTGCAAGACACTAAGAGTTGGTGGGTGCTGTGCAAGACAGACTGACTTATGAACCAGATCAGTGTGGTACACATGTTATTACACAACCATGGTGTGGAAACTGGCCCTAGTCTTTGCTGGCTTTTTCTTTCTTTAAAATGAGAAAAATCAAGGTGTCTTGACAACTAGCCTTCAGTTTATGTGATTTAGATACCAACAATAGAGACTTGATGCATGTCATCACTGTGTGTGCAATTTTGACTCAATCTCAAAATTACAAAAAGGGAAATTGGAAGCAACTTCACTCATGAAGCTTCATGAGTCTAATGCCAAACACTCTTTCTATTAATTTATTTTTTGAATATTCAGTTATCCTGTAGCTACTAGGGCTGTAACAATACATGTATTTGTATTGAACCATTTGGTACCAGGCTTTCAGCTCAGTACACAATACAAACTGAATGACATATTGAACTAATACTATTACATGTGGAAATTAAAATCTATAGCTTAAACTGTGTTCAATATAATGTTCTCAACAAGGCAGCCCACAGGAAGGAACAAGCAACATGCTGTCTGCCCCTCCCATCCCCAAACCAGAACATTTCACTCCAGTGAGACACACTGGGTGGCAGCTATGCTAAGCTAGCTCATTGTAACATGGTTACTAAGATACTAAGATGACAGTGGCTGATGTTTTTCTGTTCATCAGATTTGTGCAGGCTAAAAAGCAGGAGTTGAGACGAATGGCCACAAACCTAAATTAATGAGAACACAATGAGAGGCTCTTGCTGCGGTGTCATGAGATGACTAGTAGCAGCCGGCTTCCCTGTAGGGCGTTTTTATGGCGATCGACACATAAACTCACCTATTGTTTCCCTGATAATGCTACATTGTAAACAACAAATCCATGTTAAATCAGCAGGAAGGGAGCGAGTTGGTTTGCTCTAAGCAGCTGGTGGCCGCAGCTGACGGGAGGTTGTATTGAGTTACATGATGATGCAGTCAAGCTCTGTTCAAGATCTGTTAAAATTACTATTGGGCAAAGGAAAATAATCCTTCTCATTACGTGTTTAGGTAATCTTGTGAAATGTAGATTTTAGTGAGAAACTTGAATAAAGACAGCTGTTTGAAGGAGAAATTTGGTGTTAGTTTTAATAAATAAATAATTTGAAATAACAAGATTTTTTAAAAAAAAAGAAAGATGTAAAAATCAGGGAAATTTCTCTGGCATTTACATTTTTATCACTGTATTAAAAACATACCAAACCATGACACCACTGTAACCGAACCATGCATTTTGTAAAACCATTACACCCCTAGTAGCTACCCAGTAGCTATTTTATCACATAATCCTTAAAAAATTGGATGAGCAAGACTCAGTAATGCAAGTGTATACTTAGCCCAGTCCCCAGAAAAAAAGGTGGCATTGTATGTTTCTGCAAACTGCGGATACGTTACATTTGTATGTAACGGCCTCACAACAGAAGGGTCCCGAGTTCAAACCTGCCAGCTGCCTGGTAGTTCTGTGTGAATTTGCATGTTCTCCCTGTGTCAGCGTGGATTTTCTCTATGTTCTCTGGCATTCTCCCACAGCCCAAAGACATGTAAACATGCATGTTAGGTTAATTGATTAATTGTTGACTCTAAATTTCCTGTAGGTAGTGTGAATGGTTGTCTGTCACTATGTGTCAGTCCTGTGATAGTCTGACAACCTGTCCAGGGTGTACCCCACCTCTCACCCTGTGTCATCTGTAGCTTGCCATATCAACTGTTTTAAATTGATGTAGTAGATGACCTGGCTTTGCCATTTGGAGGTTGTGGGAATAGTTGATGGCGTGACACCTAGGCGAGACACCTGCCAAGCTGCAGAGCATTGTTTGAGTCCAACAAACAACAACACCTGTTGTTTTTTAGCAGGTCATCACTGTCTCCAGTTGATTTTTAGCCACCAAATGTGGGTGTTCTTCAGTTGTTTTTTATCATGTTGCTTTTCCAGCAGGGATTGTGCCCCATAACTGGATACTTAAAGTCAAAACATGATCTTTTCCTAACCATAACTATGTGGTTTTTGTCCCTAAACCTAATTACAATTTAACCACAGCATTGTTGAAACATAGAATTTTTCAACATATCTGCTATATGATTATGTGCAAAAATAATGTATCTGAGGTTTGCAGAATGTGCAATGCCAATATTTTTTTCTGGCAACTGGGTTGGTGTACTGAATGAATTAGGGGTGGGTGATATGACCCTAAAATAATATCATGATATTTTAGGGTATTTTTGTGATAACGATATCCTTGACAATGTGATAAATTGGTAAAAAAAAAAAAGTATGTTATTGTTAATTTAAAAACATGGAATTGCAACAAAATAAGTGATGTAGTTTTACATGTTAGCCTAACAGTTTGCCTTCAAATATTCAGTAAAAATTAAGCAAAAATGATCTCTTATTTATTTATTTATTTATTATTTTAGTTTATAAACAACAACAGTAACTCAGAGTGAGATTCAGAATCTGT